ACAAACCGTGAGACTTGAGTCCATCACTTGAGGCTGAATCCTTTGAGAACCACCAGGCTAATATTTGGGGACAAGCCAGCAGGGCTTCAAGAGGTGCCACAGGGAGCTAAAAAGCAGCCAGCACTTAGGCCCTGAGCAGGGGCATCTCCCAATCACACTTTGCTTATGGAGCATCAGGCAAGCAGTAAACTCTTCCACTCTACATCTCACAAACAGCGAGTTCAATACTATGCAGATAACACACTCCTCCATCTGTCCCTTAAGTGACAGACCACCACAAGCAGCAAGTGAAGGTGTCTGCAGACACCTATTATCTCTAGTTGAATCTATGGTCTACAACAGCATTGGTGGCCTCAGGTTGTTCCCATAGCTTATAATTTTAAAATAACATTGTACATATCTGCCCTCTTTCACCGTGAGAAAGATCTGCTAAGGGCTCCTGTAACAAGAGAAACTGGAGGGGAAGTGAGTGGCTAATTTGAATGTTGTCCTACCATCTGGTTGGGATTAAGGTCTGGGCAGGTCAGCTGTTGCCCCAAGAGGCCATCCTTGCTTCACCTGGTCTCAATTTTACACCTTTTATGCTATCAGTCCAACCACAATCAGCTGAACATCTCCTGACAATGGGCTGCTCAGGTGCCAGAGAAAAGCTTGGAGTGATTCGTTCATTCTCTAGGGCTTGTCCACGACTGACATGAGGTTAATCTGGATCAGTTTTTGAAGATACCACTTAAAAAGCAAGAGGCTCCCAAGCTGCCTTTACCCAATTAAGCATCTTTCCCTTAGGACGGGAGGCCAGCTAAGCTTGCATTAAAGCTCATCAAGTGTCCTGTTATTCAGGTACGCTTTAATATCACAGCTGTGGTCATCCCAGTGGAGGCCACCAAAAGGCTGGAGATGCCTTATAATTTTTCACCTCCTTTTGTCGCTTCAGTTATTTCTGCTATTACTTTGGGTAGCGAGATGAAAGGCCCAGCAGCTCTGCCCTTATCCACTTTGCTCTCCAGACTCCCCTCCAGTTTTTCTTTTCACATTAACTGTGTCACACACCAAACTCTCATTCACTAACTGCCCGAGGGGGACCCTCACTGAGTGTTAATTGCTGTTAATGAGCTGTTGCTGCTTTCCTTCCAAGAGCACCAATTACAACAGCACTCAGGCACGAAAGAAGATGAGTGTCTGCAGCAAATCAAGGCAAATTTTACTCCAGATGCTGGCATTGCACTGCCAGCAACTCCTGGAAAATGCTTTAAATCAGGACAAGATTGGGTGAAGGGTAACAGCAGACAACTTTCCTGCTGTTGCCTGTCTTCTTGTTCTTCATATGGTGGGTCAGGGTGAATGAGAAGTCCCTGACCTGCTTCCCACTGCTCCTGTTGCGGTGCCTTGCAGGGATATCTACGCTCAGATATTCACCTGAGCTCTCGCTCAAGTCTCCCTCCAGTCACAAGCACAAAGTCCCACCAGTGGGTTTTACATGCAGGCGGTGGCCCAGCTGACTCGGAGCACAGCAGGACTTGTCTTGTCCCACACGCTACTAGAAGAGCTGCAGGAAGGACTTAGCAAGATGGCCAGATAGCCTTGTGTTGTGCACACCAACACTGCCATCATTTCAGAACCATCCCCTACCACAGAGCTGGGGGCAGTGCCTACCTCAGCTACAGCAGGGTCTGTCCCTACCAGAGCTTTATAATCCTTTGTTACAAACCTCATTTCCCTCCACTGCTAAGCGTGGGTGAGGTCATATGCTAGCACCAAGTGTGGCCCAGGAAGTATACTGAGATGTCCACCAGCTAAGAATCACTAGAACTACCACTGTTCCTAAGGCTTCTCCCTCTGATTTACCTTTCTCGAAGCTGCAGGCCAAAGAAAGGAGATTTTAAATGAGGGATGTGCTAAGATAGTAAAAGCTTTTACATGAGTGCTTAAGGTCGTGCAAGTCAAGACCAGGTATCAAGACCCTTCACCAAATAGGCTGAATCTGTCTACAATGGCAGTAAGAAATTGCCCGGTGTCTCACTCCAACTTTCTCATTTGGGTTATTTTGGCCATACTAAGAAACATTCACATCCAAACTCTTACTGTTTGTGAGAGTCTTAGCAGAGCTGATTTACTCCATGAAAAAAAACTCCCAAAATTTTTGTCTCACCACCTTGATCTGAAAGGAGATTTAGAGAGCACCACCTGCAGCAGGGTTTCCCTCTTCCCCAGCTCTCCCAAAGTTGCAGCTCCCTCTTGGGCTCTGGCATGTGGTTCTACAGCAGGTATGAAAAAGTGCAGGTGCCTTGGCAGAGCGGCAGCCTGCTCGCTGGCTCACTCGCTCGCTCTCCTCCAGTTACAGATCAAGACCTGTTGTTCACCTCAAAGCACCTGGCTCCTATTGTGCCGCCTTTCCACAGTTTGTTAAATTTTATTTCCCGTTATTTCTCCCCTTTTGGCTTCCACCCTAAAAATCCTTCTGTAAGTTCCCCAGCTGCCTTGCTCCTCATAGACGTTCATTTAAGTATAAGACCTTACGAGCAAACCCAGAGGTACTCGCTCAGATGGAGCTCTGTCTGAACAAAACCCCTTGGGCAAGGGTCGCCTGCTCATGTATCTTGGGAATCCACTGACTTCGGTGGAAAGAACACACACCTGGCCATGCCCTTGGGTGACCTCAAGCTCACCTTGGTTTTTCCCAAACCCACACTACCAATTTCCCAGTGGTTTTCCCACAAACATATATATTCTTCCCCAGGAGCCAGGGTACTCCCATCAGGGGTGATCTCAGGGAGGGTGGGTGTCCACCAGCACCCCTGAAGCAGCTGGCAAAAGGCAGCTCGGAAGACCTCAGCAGCAGCAGGATTCAACTCATGCCCCCACATTTCCCAAATGCCGGGCACACCGCATTTCGTTTTTCAGAGCTTAGCCTACAAATAATCAATCTTGTCTTCTGCACAGGCCAATGAGGTCTGCGGAAAGAAAATTGCAAAAGATTTGTTATTTCCCTAGTGTTCCCATTTTCCCATTCCTTTCCCACAGAAGCAAGGTTTTTGTTTTGTTTTGTTTTGTTTTTTTTCTTTCCCAACTTTCAGGGGAAAATCCTGACAAATGGAAGCCCTGATTCATACCAGCAAAAATTTGGCCTTTTTTAATTTAAGGTGGAGCCCTTCTTGTCTGAGGATGAAAACATTTCTCTAACTGCACACAGAGTGCAAGGATCGAGCCTTTGCTCTGCCAAAGCAAAGGCCGAGTGGCATTGGGTGCTCATGGCCACCACAAGCAGAGTGCTGTTGTGCAGGCAGGAGAGCTATTCATCTCCCCCGTGCTCAGGAAAGCACTACCTGTGATCACTCACAAGGATGGGAAACACAGAACAGGCAAGCACAGGATGGCGGTGGTCGCTGTCACCAAAGAGACTTCCAGGGGTGGGAAAACATCTTCTGGGGCTGTGCTTGGGCAGAGGCACGGTGTGAGGCTCCATGGCCAGAGGGGTGCATTGGAAGAAAGGCTCCCCTTCCCCCTCCCATGTTTTCTCAGATGACTGAAGGACGTATGAGAAAGGGTCAGGAAGGGAGGAAGGGAAGCACTGCTCCTCTCCCGTCATCACCGCCCAAGCAGAGACACCTACTCCCCTCCTCCCTTTGTGTCCCACCTGAGAAGCAGCAGAGAGAAGAAGATGGCTGGGGAAAAAAGGATTTATGGCCACAGCCTACCTGCTCTCACAGCCCAGGGGAAAAAAAGTGAAGGAGAAAGAAGATCAAAGGAGCAACTTGTCCTTAAAACCCTCCCTTGCAGCTTTTCTCCTCGGATGCTGCCATCCATACTGTACTGCTCCCGCTCCGGTGGGCACCTCTGCCCATTGCCAGGAGCCAGCAGCAGGGAATGAGCAATTTTCTCTGACACCGAGACAGAAACAGCTTTAAAAAAAAAAAAAAAACAACCAAAAAAAGGAAAAGCCATGACTTTTTTTTCCCCTCCCTGTCTCTGGCCAGAAAGCACATTTGGCAGAGCCCTGAGTGCTGGAAGACATCAGCAGGGCTGCCGGCACTTCAGAGGCTCCGGGGAGGAGGGCAGGCGTGCACAAACCGCCGACCGCACCAAGGCCACTGTCCCCGCTGTCGCGGGGTCCCCCATCACGTGGGGGAGTCCCCCTCTCCATTCCTCCCCAGCTGCTGCCTCCAAAGGGCCCCGGGGAAAACAGGGGTCCCCTAAGGCCACGTGTTGATGCTCCACAGAGCAACGTGTGTTTTGCAGGGCATTTTGCACCTGTGGCACGTGGTAAAGGCACACGTCCTCCTCCAGCACCGAGCTGCTCCTTGTGCCTTTGCCTGAAGAGGGGGATTTACTCCAAAACCACCATTTGGCTTTGAGGTGCAGGGTTTGATCAGACCCTGGCCGTGGCCAGCCAAGGGCATCTCCCCATGGGCATCACTCACCAGGATGAGATTTGGAGAGGCTCACCCATGCCAACCCCCACCTTACCAAATCCTGTCGCTCCCACCTGGCAGCACTGCCTCCTTCTCACCCCAGCTACTCAGGCAAAGGCATTTTGAATAAAAATTTTAAAAGTAGGTTTTAAAACTACTTTAGGAAGTAGGGAAGGTGGGGAAGGGGCAGCCATTCCCCTGTTGCATCCCATGCAGGGGGGTCAGGGGACACCACACTCCTTGCATGGGACTGCTCTGCCCACCCCGGGGATCCCTGAGATCCTGCTGGCATGTCACTGGAGACCAGCAGCTCTGCACTGGGAATCCCCCCAGGGTACGCATTCCCTGTCACCCCCCATTCATTTGGGGGGAGAAAAACTCTTAATGTCAGGGCATCCCAGAGAGGTGCCATCCCACATCGTAAGATCTACTTGCCCTCGATGGCACAGCATACCTGTTTCTGCAGGAAAACCCCCTCCACCGTCCCATGCTGGGAAGTGGCCAGTCAGAAGCAACATCCAAGCACAGGTCAGGGAGAGGGTGCACCTCATCCCTTGATGTGCCACCCCCCCACACAAGCCCCACACCTACCGCTGGGGCGAGTCGGGGTCAAAGCAGGTCCTGGCCACATCGGTGGCCCGCGGGTCGCAGCAGTCACCATCATCGAAGTCATCCAACATGTTGTTGCACTCCATGTGGCAGATGCCATCACGGCGCTTCCAGGAGAAGCAGCGGCCAGGCCGGCGGCAGTCCCCGCCATCGTAGCCAGTCAGGGGATGCTCGCACTCGGGATCACAGCGCTCGTTGCCCACCTTGCTGGGTTCACAGCCCAGCAGGACGGCACGGCGGCGCAGTGAGGAGTTGCGTACCTCCAGCAAGCTGAGCTGCCAGGATATGTTGTAGGGTCGGAAAGCTTCGCTCAGCGCTCGGTGTTGCCGCCAAACCTGGTCCCGGCTGACTGTCGGCCGCCCGCCACCATCCTCCACCAGGTTCACCACCCGGTACCGCACCACCCTCCCCCTCCGCAG